AAAGCGAGAGAGAGAGAGGACACAACCAAATAGAAGGAGAAAGAGAAAAAGAGACAGCCAAATGCAAATAGGAGAGAGAGAGAGAGATGAGTAGTTGTCGGTACGATTGCAACGTAACACTCAGAGGCCGAAGAACGCTGCATCCTTGAGACATCAGGTGAAACCTGATGTCTCTTTGTTGTTCAAGGACTGCTTTGAAGAAGGCCGCCCCTCGGACGCTCCTCTCGGCAGGTTTCGCGCGCCCGCCGCCCTCGCGCACGGCCGAGGGCCCCTGCTGGCATGGGGGGGGAGGCCGACGACGGTGAAGCAGCAGAGCCACCGCCAGGTGGTCAGGCGGTCGACGGCGCGGATGCTGCCAACCAGGTCGAGGTCGGCCTCTTCTACCGCTGCCCTGCCTTCGCCGACCACGACAGGCCGCAGGGTTAGCATGCGCTGCGAGTCGACGGCGCGCACGCAGCGACGAGTGGAGGTCAGTTTGCACGGGCCGCCCAGATATGCTGCAGTGGCGAGTACTGGGCGCGGTGGATTGCACACTGTCGAGCGTGGAGGTGCGGGTCGCGTATTGTATCATCTCTGTGCGTACGAGATGTGCGCAGCCAGGCCGCCTTCGCCCGCGGCCACGTGCACCCACGTCTCCGAGTTCGAGGAGATTGACGCCAGGGAGCTCGCAGAGTGCTTCGTGGAGTGCAGGGCCAGCGATCCTTGTGCCGCCTGGCCAGCTGACCTCGGGCCTGCGCCTGGCGAGGATGATGTTGGCGGTGGCGCCCTGGAGGTCGACGAGAACGGCATGCCGAAAGACGGCTACGCTGAGCACGCTGAGCTGCGAGCTGCCGCCCGGCCGAAGGGCGCGGCGCGCCCCTCCGACCCGAGGCGGGCGGCGGCCCAGCAGCTCTCGCCACTGGAGGCCGCGGGGGCGCAGCTGGCGGCAGGCGAGCCCGCGGCGGGCTGCGCCGCCGGCCTGCGCGCCCGCGTGGGCGGCTGCGTGGCGCGCTGCAGCCTGGGCCAGGCGCCGAGCCGACGGCCGAGGCAGCCATGGCGGGGCCCGCCGCGCCTGCAGCGCCCCCGCGCGGCGCTGCGAAACGGCCGCTGGGGGAGGTCGCCCAGGGGCGAGCTGACAAGTGGAAGGCCCCTGAGAGGACTTCGGGCCCTGCGAGCTCGGCGGTTGCCGCGATTGCGGGCGGAGGTGGTGAGAGTGCCTTGCTCCCGCTGCTTCTCGAGGCGGTCGCCAACAGTGGCAGCTCCGCCGACCTCCTGTAGTCGATGCTGAATGCCTCCAGCGGAGGCAGCGAGGGCGCCGCGCCGAGGGGCCTCGCCACGCGGCGCGGCCACTTTCGCCAGATTGCCACGAAGTTACCAGTGCTCCTCTCAGAGCAGGCCCTTGCTAAGATTAGCGAGTACGTCACTACTCAGGTGTGCGAAGAGACGTCCGACGAGTTCCCACCGATCTTCCTCGAGTATTTTCTGAATGTGCTCATCCCTCAGAACCCGATTAAGTCGATCGGGATCGAGGTCTACCGCGAGATGCGCACGGTCTGCGAGGCCGCAGATGCCATCTTGTCGGGTATGACGTCCTACGAGCTCGACGTGCTGAGCCAGCATTTCAAGGCCCCCCAGCTGTTTGCGATAGACAAGACGTGGTCGGGAGCGCGCTGGCTGGTGCTCATCCCGCCGTCGGACGAGCAGTTGGCCCTCAGGACAGAGGATGGGGAGATCGCCCGCACCGTGGAGCTCGGAGAACTACGCTTCGAGGAGCTCCTAGCCAAGCTCCAGAAAGGCTCGGGGCTCGGCCGGGGGCGGGGGCCGCCGAGGGGCAACTCCCCTCCTGTAGGCCACTTTGGCGGGGGTCGGGGCCAGGGGTCGCAGCCGCGGCCTGGCGCTCGGACGCACCTGGAGGGCGCCCAAGCTCAGAGTCGCCCAGCTCCAGGACATCAGCGGGCAGCGCAGCTACGGGGCGACGACGAGAAGGGGAAGGCGCCCATGGCGAATTCCAGGAAGGCCGCCAAGGAGTCCCACCCGAAGAGGCAGGGCGAGCCTCGGAGTGCTTACGGCATGCGCCTCAGGAAGCTCACGCAGGAGGCGCGCGGGCGTCAGGGCCGCCCCCCGCGATAGGCTTGGCGCCGGCATCGAACGCCGACGTAGGCGCCCGCTGGCCAGAGTCCTTGCCCCCCTGTGCTGACTTGGCCCAGTGGCGGGCAGCTGTTGCAAGAGCTGTGCCCGACGCCCCGCGCTTGCTGGACCTCGGCGTCGCCGCCATCATTGAGCTCTGGCAGCGCCCTGGTCGACTTGGAAAGTTTTGCAGAGAGTTCCGCCCGCGCCTTCCCACGACTGGAGGGCCCCAGGTAAGGTCGCGCGACCTATTGCTGATGGCCCTCCCCGACCTCTCGCTCGCCTGGGCGCGGGTCGCGTCGCAGGACGAACCGAGGGGGAGGCGACGGCGGCTCCGTGCTGAGGGGCGCCTGGTCGCCCGAGAGATATGGATTTAGTTAGCGGTGCTGTCGTTGAAGTTTGAGTACATCGGCAGAGGTGGCCCGAGGCTCTGGGAGCACCCCCTTGTGCTGCACCTCGCGCAGCGGACCGCGTGCCAGACCATCGTCGCCCACGTCGACGGCTTCCTGGGGGGCCCGCTTGCGCGCCAGCCGAACATCGAGTGGCCCACGAAAGTCTCCAAGCTCAGGGTCGACTACACTGGGGAGGAGCAGGGCGAGGCCGTGCAGATGCGACTTGCAGAGCTCATGCCAGGGCTGCCCGACAGGCAGCACGCTGCGCAGCTCCAGACGGAGGACTTCGTCGACGATCACATCCTCGAGTGGCTCCTGGACCCCGCAGTCGTCACCCCGCCGTCTGCGGAGTGGCCCACTGTCCACCGCGGGCACGGCTCAACTGCGAGAAGCTCGAGGACTAGTACGAGGTGGCTGAACACCTTCTGGGCCTGGGTATTCTAAGGGTGGCGCGGGAGGCGGACATCTTCGCCCCCCGCGAGAAGAAAGGGGGGCCGCTCGAGGGTCAGTTGCGCTGCGCGCGCCTGATCTTCAACCTGATACCCTCCAACGCCTAACTTCGGAACGTCGTGGAGGACACGGCTACCCTCGCGGCTTCCACATCCTGGGCCAGCATCCACTTGCCTGCAGGATGCGTCATGGCGTGGAGCAGCGACGATCAGAAGGGCGCTTTCTACGCGTGGAAGCTGCCTCCCGCCTGGTGGGGCAGCATGGCCGTTTCAGTGCCGGTGCCTGCTCGTGCCGCTGGACTGCCAGGCGACCACCTTGTCTGGGTCGCGTTCCGAGTCATCCCCATGGGATGGGCCCTCGCTGTCACGCTGTTCCAGCACCTCCACCGCCGCCTGGCTCTCAGAGCGCCCCGCATAGGTGCTGGCCCCCCCTGGGGCGGTGGAGCGGAGGCGTGTCCGTCCCTGGCCTCTGGCAAGGCATCGATCTCACGCGCGGTGGCAGGTCTACATCGAAGACTTTGACGCCCCGGGGTGATGCAGGCCGCCGAGGCTTACCGCGCTTTGGGCACGCCAGGAGAGATGCAGCTCGCTATGCGCCGAGCTTGCGCCAGAGCGGAGGTTGCCTACGCGGAGGACAGGAGCCGCGAGAGGCAATTGGAGCGTGAGCGGGTGAGCGCCTGCCTTGATGGCGAGGTTAGCACGACCAGGGCGCCGATCCACAAGACAGCCGAGCTCGTGAGATACATCCTCTACGCGCGCGGCCGCGACTACTGCCCCTGGCTCCTCATGCTCGCGCTGCTGGGACGGGCTGTCAGAGCGCTCGAGTTCAGACGCCCCCTCCTCAGCTGCCTCAACTCGGCCTGGGAGTTCTCAACCAAGACGCGGGGGGGCGCATAAACACAGGCATGTCCCAGGAGCTGCTGATGTGCATCGGCTACCTCCCCGTCGCCTGCACCGACCTGAGGGCAGCGCTGTCGCCTGTCGCCGCCGTCTCCGACGCCTCGGAGAGCGGCGGTGGGGCATGCGCTTCCACGGGCCTGACCCCGCTTGCGGTCGGAGCTGGGGGGCGGCGCTTTGTGGCGCCAGGCCGAGCATGAGAACTGCCCAGGACAGTTTGGTGCCCGAGCACAGCGCGGGCCCTGCCGCGCGGAGTCCCGCTCGTCCCAGGATGCTGATGGTGGGCCTCTTCGACGGCTTCGCGGCGCTGGCAGCGGCGGTGTCCAGGCATCCCGTCGCCATCATAGGGGTGGTCTGCAGCGAGATCGACAAGCCTGCTAGGCGAGCGGTTCGGCTTCGATGGTCTGGGACCGCCGACTGGGGCGACATCAGGTCCATTACCGCGGTGAAGCTCGCCGACACTTGCTACAGCTAGTGCGACGTCTGCCGATGTGGTGCTGGTCGCCCCTGCCAGGGTCTTAGCGGAGTCAACCTGGCAAAGTCATGTCTTGCTGGGCCCCGCTCGGGGCTCTTCTTCGAGGTCCCGAGGGTGCGCGGGCTCCTGCGCAATCATTTCAAGGAGAAGTTCGCCTCCTTCGTCGAGAACGTTGCATCAATGTGCTCGGGCGACAGGAACGAGATCACCAGGGAGCTGGGCGTCGTGCCGATCAGGCTATGCTCGTCCGTCTATGTCCCTGCACGGCGGGCTCTGTACTATTGGCGCAGTTGGCTCCTGGAGCCGCGAGGGGAGTTCACGGTGGGCGGCCCTCGCGAGGGCAACGGCGGCTTCCGAGAGGCGAGGCGCATTCGTTGCTCGCCCGCCCCGCTCGACTGGGTCACCGCAGGCTGGGCCTGGGGGGGTGGAGACAGGCCTGCCCCCGCGCTCACGTGCCCGCGCCCTGCTGCAAGTAGGCTCAGTACGCCAGCAGGTCTTCGCACTGCCACCGAGTGCGCGAAAAGGAGGTGGGCCCTTAACAATCATCGATATCACTTGGGCTGGGGCGAGGAGAGCAGCATGCTTCGGAGTAAAACAGATGGGTCGCTTCGCACACGAGACCCCGAAGAGAGAGAGGCCCTCCTGGGATTCGACAAGCACTGCACTAGAGTCGCCCACAAGGACCCCGATGCCCTCGGCGTTGCCGACACGAGGAACTTCTTCCTGGGCAACTCATATTCGGTATACTCCGTCACCTGGCTTGTTCAACAGCTGTTTCTGGCTCGAGGACTTTTCGGTCGCGAGCGCCCCGCAGAGGCTCTGCTCGCGCGGGGCAGCTGCCCGCTGTCCTGGGGCGAGGTCGGCTCGTGCACGAAAAGCGCCGTCGAGCGCGACAGGAAGCTCGCAGCGCAGCTCACAGGGGAGTTCCTCGCGATCAACGATCGGAACGGGAGCGACATCAGATTGGGCGTTGGCCTGCCACATCGACCACGGGCGCGGCCGAGAGCGAGCATCAGCCCCTTCAGCTGGCACCGGCGGGCGTTCTCGCTGTGGCGGCAGGGCAGGGCCGACGTGCGCATCGACGCGCGCGAGCTGCAGGCGGGCATTGCGGCCCTGCTGTGGCGTTCGCGACCCGCGAAGCATCTCAACGCCAGGTTCGCCCACCCGTTCGACTCCCAGGTCGCGGCCTCCATCGCGACGAAGGGAGATCACCCAGCGTCAGGCTCCAATAGCTCCTGCGAAAAGTGGGCAGCCCTCTGCGCGGCAGGGGGCCTCTACCCCGTCATGGGGTACATCGCGACAGAGGGCGACCCGGCCGACGCCCCATCCAGACGACAGTGGAACGCCAGGGGCAAGGGCAAGCCTTGCCACGTGCCCCCGAAGGTCCGCAGCGCTCCTTCAAAGGGCTCGGAAGGCGCACTCGGCGAAGCGCAGTACTCGACTGAGGCTGCTCAGAGTTTCGGCCGCCACGCTGGGCCGCCACAGGGCCGCCCTCAGAACGGTGCTCGACCATTGGGGCGCCGCGGGGTTGCAGCCTTCAGAGCCCCTGGACGTTGACGAGGGCGTCTCCGAGTGCATCGAGATGCTGTGGGGCGAGGACCAGCCCGTCAGCAAGGCGAACTATGCAGTCGCCTCCGTCGATTTCTTTTTCGCCTCAGTGCAGCAGAGCCTCGGGCTGTCCTGGAGTCTCCTGAAGGCCTGGAGGCGGCGCGAGCCGCCCGTGCGAGCCTTGCCGTTCACGCCGGAGCTCATCCTAGCGATGGCCGCCGTCGCCATCGAGCGCAGAGCCCAAGACGTCGGCACGCTCCTCACCTTGGGCTGCGCAGGGCTGCTGCGCACGACAGCTCGAGCTGTTCACCCTGCGCAAGAAATTGGTTGCGACCATCAGCGGCGATGCCATTGTGCGACTGCCTGAGACCAAGACCGTCCACCGCAAAGCGACAACGGGGATGGTCGCCGTGGACTGCCCCATCGCGGCGCAGCTAGCGAGGCAGTGGTACGACGGCGCGGCGCCGCTGGAGACCACCAGCAGGCGACCGCCATCACAGCTCAGAGCTTGCCTCCAGAAGCTGCCGGGTTTCTTCCACCTCGACGGTTTCCGTTTATCCAGGTACTCGTGCCGCCGCGGCGGCGCCACCTACGACTTCATGCCCCACCAGAGCATGGAAACAACGATCATGCGAGGCCGCTGGGGGTCAGCCACGACAGCCAAGATACATCGAGCAGGCAGTCGCTGATGTCGTGCAGGTCGTGCCAGCGCACGAAGACCACGCGTTGATTCGACACGTTGCAGGCCACTTGTACAAGTCAATGCTGAAGAGAGAGTTTGAAAAATGAGTGGACACCTGGCGCGACTGATAAGGGATCTTGGGGCACGGCGAGTGAGTTTTTCCTTCGCCAATTTTTGAGAGTCCGTGCAATACCCCCACGCTGTGTAGAGGCTAGCCGCCACTCCGCTCCGACCCGTTCCCTCAGGCCTCGGCGTATCCTGGCCCGAGCGTCCGCTCGCGGGACTCGGCCTCTCCCCCTCGGCCCCGCGGGGGCCTGGAGGTCCTGGGGTCGGCGCCCCTGGTCCGAGCATTGTCCCGGCGAGCCTGTGTGTCCACGGAATAACCTTGAGGTCTCCTGAGGCTCGGGGGTCCGATGCGGTTGGGGCCCAGGCGCGCGTCTCTCCAGCCGGCGGTTGCTGGCGACGCTAGCCACGGACCCCTTGGCGTGGGAGGGCAAGAAAAAGCGCTGTGAATCGTTATCGGCACGATTGTAACATAACGCTCAGAGACCGAAGAACGCCGCAGCCTTGAGGCATCAGGTGGAACCTGAGGGCGAGATCCGTAGATCTTGGTTGCTTCCGCCCGCAGACCGCCCTATTGTAGTGCCAGGCCTACTTGAGCGGGCGCGGAAAACCCCCGCGCTGCATAGAGACTAGCCGCCACTCCGCCCCGACCCATCCCTCGGGGCCTCGGCGCGCCCTGGCCCGAGCGCCCGCTTGCGGGACTCGGCCCCCCCCCTTCGGCCCCGCAGGGGCCTGGAGGTCCTGGGGTCGGCGCCCCTGGCCCGAGCAATGTCCCGGCGAACCTGCATGTCCAGGGAATCACCTTGAGGTCTCCTGAGGCTCGGGGGTCTGATGCGGTTGGGGCCCAGGCGCGCGTCTCTCCAGCTGGTGGTTGCTCGCGACGCTAGCCGCATACCCCCCGGCGTGGGAAGGTAAGAACAAGTGTCCTATATTCACGGAAGTGAGAGAGAGAGAGATAGCAAAAAACAGCTACGACTAATAAAACGATAGAGAGATATACCGAAGGAGAGAGAGAGAGAGAGAGAGAGAGAGAGAGAGAGAGAGAAAGAGAGAGAGAGAGAGAGAAAACAAAACAAGAGAGAGAGAGGGGGAAACAAAAACAAACGAGACAGGGAGTGAGAGAGAGAGAGAGTCCGTAAATAGAGATAGTAAGACAGAGACGTAGACAGAGTTAGAGAGAGCGAGAGAGAGAGAGATAGAGAGAAACAAAAAACAAAGAACAAAAAACAACCCCAAAAAGAAAAACAAACAAAGAAGAAGCAAACAACAGTGATTACTATAGAGATAGAGAGTGTGAGAAAGACGGCTGGAGAGAAAGAGAGAGGGGGGCATTTTCCAGATCGAGCCGATTACACTCATAACCCGAATAGAACACAATGTATCTCTCACTGGGGTGGAGCGGAGCCCAGATTCAGCCGATTTCAAGTGCATTCCCATTGTGACCGAATACGCACGAATGAGAATGGATCAGGTCCCAAGAATGGATTTCCATTGTAGCCTGTACATAATCGAATTGAAATTCTGCAGATCCCAGATCGGGCTGATTTCAAAATAATCTCGATTGACGCGGAACTAGATTCAGATTAGACTTGGGCAGATCCCAGGCCCAGCTGGTCCCAAGTAGATGCCCAGTGGGATCTAATGTGAATCTACTCGGGATGGAGCAGGCCCCAGATCCAGGATATTCGAGTCGTATTCGTATTGGAACAGATGCAAAATCGAACTGCCATGGGGCAGATCTCCAGCGAATTCTAACTTGATCGCGCGTGAGGTTACATTAGACTTAGTCGGACTTGGGAGCATGTCAGACCCAGCTGCGTCCAAGTGGGATCCCGATGGGAACCGACTCGTAATCTAATGCGTGGATATGAACTGGCCACAGGTCCAGCTGATTCCACGTGGATCCCTATTGGCATGGGATTGAATTATAATTAAAATTAGAATTGAGCAGATCCCAGACCCAGCTGATTCAAATTTGATTCCTCCTGTAATCGAATCTGAATCTAAGCGGGCCGGGGCAGATCCCAGATACAGCTGTTTCCAATTTGGCGCCTGCCTATTCGATTCGACGAGATGACAGACCCAGCTGATTCCGAATGCATGTGTTTTGGAAAAGATTTAAGTTTAGCTGGAGTTGAGCAGATCCCAGATCCAGCTGATTCCACTTGGATTCCTGTTGGGATCAACTTTGGTCTAGTTGGATTTGAGCAGATCCCAGGTCCAGCTGTGCTCAAACGGCATGCGCAAACTTTCGGAGCTTTGCGCAGATCTCTTCGATCGGCAGCGGGCCCCCCTCCCTGGCGCGGGGGGCGCACCAAGGGCGGGGTTGGAGGTCGTTGTTTGATTGCTTGACGAGGGGGCAGAGAGGCGAGGGCGCCCGCGAGGGCGCGAAGTTATTCGCGCTTCGCGGTTCTGCTCCGATTTATCCTCCTCTTCCCCCCACTCTTCCTCGTCCCCCTTCTCACCCCCTTCCTCCTATTCCCCCTCTTCCTCCTCTTTTGCCTGTGGATGCGAGGCCTGGAGAGGGTTTGGAGGATCGAAAGGGTTGAAAGATTGAGAGGTTATGGAAACATATTGAACGATTGAAGTAAGCAAATATTGACAGAGGTTCGGGGCCAGGATTGAAATATTGAAAGATTGAAAGAAACGGTTGTTCAATCTTGCAGTTTGGGGCTGCACTATTGAGAGTTGAAGTTTTCAATTCAAGAGTTTCGGATTGAAACATTGAAGGAATGCTCGGTGTTTCAATATTGAGGCTCCGTGTTGAAACATTGAACCAGGTCGTGGTCGTAGATAGCCCCAAGCAGCTCCGCCGCGGCATCGCGGCCGCTCTGGCGCGCGTCTGGCCTGACAGAGGAGTCTTACCTTTCGCGCGCTTGCGCGCAGCCGCGCCGCTGAGCATCTGAAGAAGCAGCGCCGGGTCATCATTGCGGCAGACCTCCCGCATCGCCTCTGGAGGAGCAGCGCGCGAGCTCGACGCGCCCTGAATTCGTGAATCTGCGCGAGGATGTCCGCCTGGCATTGGCTCGACTCTCGGCGCCCCCGCTAGTAGCGGAGCCGCGCCGGCTGCCAGTGGGAGAAGCAGCGCGTTCGCTCAGCCGTGACGCGATTGCATTGATCGGGGACATCGCGAAGCCGACGGTGGAGGGTGCTCGCGTCGCTGCTGAGGCGGCGCCTGAGGATTTGACGATGGAGGCGAGGACTTTCCTCGAGTCTGGAGATGTACTCTAGGCCCCTGCGTGGACGACCGAGTTTGGGGCAGGGCCCACGCGCGGTGTCATGGGGCGCCTGGCGCGGTCGGTGGGGGCGCGCCTGTGCCCGGCATGTAGCACCGCGCAGTGGCGCTTTCCTCGGGACTTCGCCGATGCGCTGCGCCGCTGCAGGGCAGTGCACGCGGCGCAGAGGTCCAGCTGGAGGAAGCGCACCCTGCCGAGGGAAGGGGCGCGCGCGGGCGCGGAGTTGCAGGTGGATGGCATTGCGAACGCCATTGTCCAGAAGGAGTTGAAGCTGACGTCGGCGCGCCGCACGCAGCGGGCGTTGTGGAAGTGGGCGAAAGCGGCGCGCGCGCGCGGGCTGAGAGCGGCGGCGACGTCCGCGACGCGCCCGTCGGCGCGACGAACGTGGAAGGGGGGCTTCTTCGGATTGCAGGAGGAGAGCTTCGTGGCGCGACAGACGTCTGTGGGCGAGGAGTTCTTCCTCCCGGCAGCGGCGGCAGCATGCTTGAAAGTGGCTTTCGAGAAAGCGTGGATGTCCAGTCTGCCCCGCAGCGCCAGCGGCTCGCCCAAGCGCTGGGGGGCGCAGCTGACGTGCGCGTCGCTGTTTGCAGCAGCGCGCGGAGCACGCGCAGCGGAAATTGAAGCAACGTTGCGACGGCGCCTGGCGATGGGGCGCGAGGAACGCCGCGCGGCGGTCGACGCGGTTCCCCGTCGGCGCCGCCGGGGCCGTCGCCGCGGGCTGCGCCAGCACCGCGTTCAGGTTTGAGTAGGGTGCAGGGGGCTTGCGCGCGGCGGCAGCGAGCGCGCGCGCGGCTTGCACGTGGACTGATTGCACGTGCATGATGATGCGGGAGTGGGGGCGCGCGCGCAGGGGGGCGGGGGGGCGCTGCGCAGGGGCGATGGCGCGCGACGCACGGTGGGCAGCCGTGGCAGGCGCGCCAGAGGAACAGCGTAGTGGAAGAGGAGAGGAAGGGATAACTGGATGCATAATGAGACTGATCTGTATATATATACACGGAGAGAGAGAGAGAGATATAAAGAGAAATAGCGACATAAAGAAATACATGGAGAAAGAGAAGGAGAGAAACATAAAGGGAAGTATAACAACAATCACGCAAAACACAAGACAATAATCGCATACGAAGAGAGATAATACACAGGGATAGGAAGACAGATGGGGGCAAGGGAGAGCGAGAGAGATGGGGGGTGAAAGAGAGTGAGTTGGAGAGGCGAGAGCGAGAGAGAGAGAGAGAGAGAGAGAAAGAGAGAGAGAGAGATAAAAAAAAAGAGATAGAGAGAGAGAGAGAGAAACAAAAAAAAGCGGAGAGAGAGAGAGAGAGAGAGAAGAGAAAACACAAAAACGAATACACGACAAAATAAACGAGAGAGGAGGGGCGGGGGTGGAGAGAGAGAGAGAGAGAGAGAGAGAGAGAGAGAGAGAGAGAGAGAGAGAGAGAATGAGAGAGAGAGAGAAACAACACATATGAGAGAGAAAGATAAAGAGAAAGAGAGAGATAGAGAGAGAGAGATAGATAGATAGAGAGAGAGAGAGAGACAAGAGAGAGAGACAAGATAGAGAGAGAGAGAGGGAGGACACAACTAAGAGAGGGAGAGGCAGAGTTAAAGAGGAAAGAGAGAGAGAGGGAGAGAGAGAGATAACAATAAATATATATATATATAAAGAGA